TCTGGGAGACTCTTGGAGGAGGAGATGGCATCCGTAAGATTGGACCAGTACCATGCATCATCACGCTGTGTGTGTTTATCATTGACTCCTCAGTGCAACCCATGAAGGCCAAGGCGTGTGTGACCAGCGTGAGGCTGCAGGAGCAGTGGCCCCGCCTCCTGGCAGGAATGAAGTCTAGGGAGGTCCCTTGCTGAAGGGTTCCAAAGGCTGAGAGATGGAGAGCAGGGCTCTGCTGCCAGCTGAAGGGCCTCTTCCTGGACTGAGGGGTGTGGGGTGGGGGAGGAGCCCATCCCGGACTGGGGAGGCTGTCCCCAGTGGGCCTCTACCTCCCCCTCCCCTTCTTCCACCTCTCGGGCTCCTCCCAGGTGCCCTGTGTTCCTGATGCTATTTCTGAGACACAGGCATTTTCTTGTCATCTTTTTAGGCTCTAAAGACAAAGGGTCCCTGTGTGTGAGGAAAAGATGGTACATTAGCCCATTCCACATTAACAATGGTGAGGGCCAACTTCATCCTAAGGTTCCCTAGAGCAAACACATCTCACCACATAGCATCCAGCTCACTTGATCTCAGGCAGAAGGCTGAGAAGTGGCTCTTCCACTCATCTTAGGTCAGGAAAGCACATTGTTGTCAGGGAGACTTTCCCCTACTCCCCTGAAGAGATCCCAAGTCTTAAGGCATGCTTCCCCCACAGAAGGACGTTTTCTGTGAACAGGGTTCCCTGTATAATCCTGCCTTGGGGTGGCATTGATGAAGCACAGGGTATTTCCAACCCCACAGTCTCTTCTTTTGGGAGATGCCTCAGTGGAACTCACTTTATCTTGGTGCTCTGACATGAGTCTTTGGAGGACTGATCCAGTAGCTAATCATCTCAATGTGTTTGTTTTCTACATAAAAAACCAAGTGGAAGGCCATGGTCCAGTCAAGGCCCAGTTGGTGTAGCACTTGCCGTGGAAGCTTGAGGACCCGAGTGCTATCCAGAGAAACCATGTGGACTAGCTGGTTAGGGTGGGCCATACGTATAATCTCAGTCCTGAGGAAGTAGAGACAGGCAGTTCTCTGGAGCTTACTAACCAGCTAGAGACCCTCTCCCGATCAGTGAGAGATCATGTCTCAAAACAAACAAACAAATAAAACCAAAAAAACAAGAACCAGGGAGGAAAGCTCTTCACACACACACAGAATTATGTGACATCTGTTATAATTCTTAGGCTGTCAACTTGTGGTAGCCTAGAAGTTAGTGACCTATGAAGAGTCTCTGTGGTGGTATTCTAATTGTACTGAAATGTGATTTTGATTGTATGTTAATAAATAAAGTTGCCCGGGGGTCAGAGCTATTAGAGCCATAGACTGAGTGTGGTGGTGGTGGTGCACGCCTTTAACCCCATAGATCTCTGTGTGTTCAGGGATACAGCCAACATTGGAGACATATGCCTTTAAGATCTGGGGGGCTGTACATACAGACAGTGACGAGGCAGTCACGTGTTTGGGTTTACAACCAATGAGAAGGCAGAACAAAAACTATAAAACGACTTACACACAGGGAAATTGCTCTCTTTCGGGAAGCTGGGACCACCGCAGGAGGAAGGGTGAGATTTTAGCTCTGAGCTCTGACCTCTTGGCTTTCTCTTTTACATTGGTTCTGTGTTTCTTATTTAATAAGACGGTTGGTTACATCTACAAGTCTCCTTTCAGGAATTGCCCCCACGGGCATGTCTGTGCCACATTGTTTTGGTGATGGTTAATTGAGGTGGGAGTGTTCACCCTGTATATGGTTAGTACCATTTCCTAGACTTCATAGACGCGTCCTGCATTGTATCAGAATAAGGAAACAAGCTGGTCAGGAGCAGGCAGACCACGAGAATCCAGTTGTTTATCCTCTCTCTGCTCTGGACTCCAGATGTGATGTGACTAGCTGCTTTGAGTCCCTGCCTTGACTCCCCTGCAATGATGGACTGTCACCTGGAATTGTAAGCCAAGTCAACCCTTCCCCTGTCAGCTGATTTTTCCCTTAGGGTGTCTTCTCACAGCATCAGAGTGAGCGCCCATCTATAATCCCAGTAGTTGGGAGTGTGACGAGAGAGGGCTGAGGGGTCGAAGACAGGCTGGACTCCATAATGAAACCATCTCTCAAAGAGAAAAATAAAAGCAAGGAAGAGTTCAGACCCTGTGACTGTACTCATGGCCTCATGCCCCCAAGTGTCCGTGTCCTGAGGTAGCTGGTCTAAGTTGGAATCTCAGACCAGAATTACCTAGGCTGCTTGTTAAAATGCAGAGTCCTTGGCCTTTCTGCAGGCCTGTGGACTCACAGCCCCTGAGGGTAGAACCCAGGTGTGACTATGTATGCCCGGCTTCCTGAGTAATTCAGCCATATGGCCGTACTGAGAACTATGGGTAGAATAAGATCAGAGATGTGTCGATGAGGAGTCAAGGGCTGAGGAGACACCTTGGACGGTAAAGTGCTTGCCACAGGGACCTGATTTCGATTCCTAGAAGGCACATACAAAATACCAGATGTGGTGGTGTACACACATAATCCAGCCCTGGGGGGACAGAGACAGGCAGCCAGGCCTACTTAGTGAGAGATTCTGTCTCGGAAAAACAAGGTGAATGGTGTCTGAATCATGGCATCAGATTGTCCCCTGGCCTTGGAAGGTGGCAAATCTGGATCGGCTTGGGGAGAACTCTGTGAGGGGTCTGTGGATGTGACAGTGTCTTGGTGCCCAGAGGCAGTGAGTGGAGCAGTGTGGAGACCTCAGGTGTGGTGGTGAACGGCAGCCACGGAGTGTTTCCCAACAAAGCGTGACAGCAGAAGAGGAAGGAGGCTGTCACAGGGACAGGGGACGCTCTTTCTTCACCTTCCCTCGGCAGTTTCCTCTTGTCACACTTCCCTCAGAGTTTCTCAGTGGGACAAATCAGTGGGAGCTCTGGGAACAGAAGTCAGTCAACATCTACGTGGGGCAGCATGCTCCAGCAACTGTAAGAGGTTTGTCCCCTTGCCTCTGGCCACTGACAGATAGCACACCCAGGAAGGAGCATCAGATGGAGGAGACAGGGACCCAGGGATGTCACCACAGCTGCTATGGTTGGGGAAGGAGAGAGACGGGAAGAAGGTAGTGGAGAGGCTGCCAACAAGAGGAACAGAGCCCGCTGAGGGGAGGCAGCTGCTGAAAGAAGTCCACTTGCGTTTCTCAGGGTGGAAGATGCCTGGGAGGAGACAGGGGATGCATTAGAGATGGGTGAGTGCCAAGGAAGGAATGGAGATAGACCATCATGATCCACGCGGACCCAACAGGGAACAGGCCATACAACAAGCTGGAGGTTTTCCTAGGCCACGTTGAAGTTGAGAAGTTATGTAACCCTGAGCTGTGCTGATACCCACCCAGACACAAACCTAGGAAGCAAATCGACTTTACAGTCATCCACAGGGCAGCATACATGGCATGCATCTAAGAAAGTTATCCTAAGAGTTCACCAGCAGGTTGATGGAAAGCTCATGGCTCAGTATTTCAGACATAATCAATAATTAAAAAAAGTTACAGGGATGATGGTGGTAAAAGTATAACCTGGTGTGGATGACCATGGGTGTTGACGACCGTGGGTGTGGACGAGCGTGGCATGAAAGCCAAGAAGGGGAAAGTTGAGTGCAGTTGGCTGTGTTCAGGTGGACGCTCCTCTTGACAGATGGACAGAGGGTGAAGGGAGATTCTACCTGAGGACACCAGGAATGGACAGAAAGGGCCATGTACCAGGCAGCAACAAACATGTCTGGGCCACCACAGAGAGAACAGAAAACAACAGAGAGCTGGGTATGGCGGTGTATACCTGTAACACCAGCAGTCAGGAGGCTGAGGTGGGAGGGTTGTGGGAGTCTGAAGCAGCCTAGGCTATATATTGAGTTCAGCTTGAGTTGTGAAGTGAGACCTTGAAAAGAAAGGAAGGAAGGGAGGGAGGGAGGGAGGGGGGGAAGGAGGGAGGAAGGGAGGGAGGGAGGCAGAGAAAGAGAGAGACAAAGAGAGACACACAGAGAGAGACACACAAAGAGAGAAAGACAGAAAAAAAGAAAGGCAGGAAGGCAGCAAGGCAGACAGGTGGATGGCCGCCTGCGTATGTACACACATTTCTAGAAATAGAAATGGTGATGCAATACTGGTAAAGATATTTTGTAATTTTTCAACATGAAAATTTTCCCCTCTACAAAATGCAGACAAAATATTTCCTGCAAACACACCACCTACAATCAGTCGTTAGGGATTTGGGGCCTTGTTTGTCCCATATGTGAATCTGCATTTCTGACATAGACAAACCAAGTAATCAACAGTACCAGAATAGTCACAGCACTCCCAAATTCCCCTTCCATGCTTGCTGGTGCTTCTGATGTGCTGCCTCTGGCTGATGGAAGAGGCAAGGTGGCCCCATGAAGCACGTATCTCCTGTCCCAGGGGTCCAGGCTGGAGGTGAGGAGGAACAGATGTGCCTTCTGGGAGACAAGAACCTGACCGTGACTTGTCCTTACAACATCATGCTGTACCCATTCTGCCTGAATGCCTGACAGCGGCTCAGAAGCCTGGCTTCTCCAGGGATCCAAGTGCTCACAAACACCAGAAATGGAGACTTAGTTTGGTCCAGGCTGGACGGTACTTGCTGGGGATTATCCCGCCGAAGCTGTTGTCAAAGTCACGGTGACTGGGCTGCAGAGGCAGGAGGTGGGGCTGTACCAGTGTGAGATCTACCTCTCTCCTGACAATGCTGCTGTCCTGTATCATTGGATCCAGCCAAGGTGAGCTACAGGGGACCCTGTCAGGGGGACTTCCTACTCACTAGTGGGCTGGGACCCCATCTGCCAGGAGGAGCCACTTTCAGGAGGCAGCTCAGAGTAATGGGGAAACTTCTAGATCTTTCCCTCTCTCACTGTGACCTTGGGAAAGTCACAGCTCTTTTCCATGCCTTAGTTTTCATGGCTGTAAGACAA